CCTGCATGGTATTGGGCTGAGTAGACAAGGGGAATCCCTTGCAACTAGGACAAAGGCCTATAACAAAAACGAGTTCGTAAATTCTTCTGTTGCTTTCTGAAAGGCCTGAGAGAACAAAATGAAACTGGGACAACGGATCGGTCTGATTTTTTAACATTGTGGATCATGCTTTTCCTGTTTTTGGTGGGTGGTGTTGGGTTTTTAACAGTCAGGTGGCTCTACACTCTTACATGAAATCTGGCTGTACAAAAACGGTAACGGTTTATAAACATACCTTCTTAGACAAGTGGTTAATGTCTTAATATGAACATGCAATCTGTTTTAGATCTACCATCGGGGCTTTTTTTTTAGTGGGAACGTGGGGGAGAATGCAGTTCCGGCACTGAATGTACTGTATGTAATAGCAAGGGGTGCTGGGCCGTGCTGAAAAATCTATTGATGCTGGCTGATCTATTGTCACTGGAGGGTATCTGTTGTTGCTGGGAAGGTCTAATACTACTGACAAGAGATCTATTGTTGCTGGAGGGGTCAATAATTGCTGCAAAGGGATCTACTGTTGAGGGAGTGATCTTTTGTTTCTGGCTGATCTGCTGTTGCTGCTGGGGGTTTATTGTTGCTGCGGAAACCTATTGTTGCTGGGGGGCATCTATGACTGCTGGGAGATCTGCTGTTGCTGCTGGGGGTCTATTGATGCTGGGGTGGTATTTTGTTGCAGGGGTCCATTATTGCTGGGGGGGGCAGAGATAAATCTACAGGTGAAACTCGAAAAATTTGAATATTGTGCAAAAGTTCATTTATTTCAGTAATGCAACTTAAAAGGTGAAACTAATATATGAGATAGACTCATTACATGCAAAGCAAGATAGTTCAAGCCGTGATTTGTCATCATTGTGATGATATGGCTTACAGCTAATTTTTCGAGTTTCATATTTATTGCTGCTGGCTGTGGAGGATATATTTTACTGCTTTTCTTGTTATCTTACAAATTCCAAAGTTACCTAGCACCACAAATTGATACTTGGCTCTGTATTCTCTATAAGGAGCGGTACTGGGAGGTGGGTAGGGGGTGGAAACAAGGAACTATACTCTGGGGTAGATAGGGGGGCAGAGACAAGAACTGAGATAATAGTGAATAGGTAGGCACTGTACAATAAATTGTCATAGATTCAAAGTGGGACAGACAACCCCACCATTTCCATGTGCCAGTACTATATTAACCTATTAACAGTGTTGATCAATAAGATCCGTGCATAAGTAATAAACTATCAAATATGTAATCCTAAATGGAACACAATAATAAGAAACATAAGATTCATAAAAATCATAAAAGTCGGTGTGCCTTCACCACGTGCCAAACACAAATTAGTCGGGATCAGGGGCGGACTGACAACTCATGGGGCCTCCGGGCAATAGGGGATCATGGGGCCCCTGTGTCCTTGCCCAACCTTAAAAAAGCCTATGAAAAAGGTACCAGGGGTATCTCATGGGGGCCCCTACTGACCCCGGGCCCTCAGGCAGTGCCAGAGTTTCCAAATGGTCAGTCCGCCCCTGGTCGGGATAACAAATATGGGTCATAACAGTCCTTTTGGGACACAACGTTGCTGACGGAAATCCATGTGGCCACACCCCGGTGAAAGTCTCACTCACCTGACCTATAAGACCCCAGTTAAGGTGGTCAAATAGCGCGTTTTGATGGTATAAGCTGGAACGTCCACCTCTAGCTAACCCAGGAATCCCAGGATGGTCCTTCCGGTCACCAACTCTCTTCGCATATTTGGCTACCTTTTCTTCACACTTTTTTTCTCCCAGTTTTATCGAATCATGTGCTCAGGATTGAGTTACATGTGAGAAGAACCTGTCATGTTCCCAATGTATGTATATGGAGAAGACATGGTCTATTGTCTTGCATTTGCAGCACATGAAAACACACAAATACACTTTTCAGGCTCTCAAATGGTCTTCTATGGACCCCACAACACACACAAATGAAATGAAAAAGGAAAAAAAAAGAAGAAGAAAGCGTTCCTGGACTATTTTCCATGACTCACTGCAAGGCAAAAAAGTCTGCCCCAACCCAATGAGAGCAATGGGATGCCAAGGCACCTGTGAACCAATGCATCTCCTAGATTGTAAACTCCAAGGAGCAGGGCCCTCGGATTCCTCTTGCACCTAATTTTATCTCTTAGATTGTAAGCTCCCACGATCAGGCCCTCCTATCCCTCTTGTATTGAATTGTATTGTTTCCCGTTATATTGTAAAGCACTGAGCAAACTGTTGGCGCCATAAATCCTGTATAATAATAATGCAAAGTTTCTGCCTATGCTGTTCTTAAGTGTGGTGTATGGCTTTCCAGACTCATCTGCCAAGCAGTAAGGAGGCGATATTATTACCTCCTCACCACCTGTTTTAACACTGTAAATGCTACACCACCGAGTGCATTGAATGCGATTGCGGGCTAATTGTAGTGCAAACGCAACAGAAGGATCATTTTTGCCACACAGCATGTGCACAACCCCATCAGGCCGCATGTGCAGCTTAAATTGGTTGTAAACCCTTACATACACCCAGTGAAGTGATTGGCCTCAGGGGATACATGTGTACCTGTGTATCTCATTTACACCTGTTCAAATAGCAGACTTTATCCAGCTTGTCTGAGAGTTCAGAAAAAAAGAAAAAGGGGACGGAGAGCTGAAATTACGCTATGAAGAGCGCAGTGAGGAGAACTCTGACAGCTGATTGGAGGAAAGAAACACCCCCTCCACACAGCTCACATGAACAGAGCTGATGCTGTCACTCTGCTGGACTCCCTGTCACCATTTTCTCTTGGTGTCAGAAAACTTGTCAGAAGTGATTCATGTTGATAGCAAATGAACAAAGCAGCAGACAGAAATGACACTTAGTGCTCCTAATTGAGAAAAGTACACACTATAGAGGGATAGGCTTTCTTCATATTTCATGTCTGAGGTTTCCAACCACTTTACAGGGAGCAGCTGGAGAACACATAACTAAACAGGGCAGTTGGTTGTCTTTAAAAAGCAGCAACAGCCTGAGTAAAAAAGCCTGTCCTCTGTCAGCATGCTGCAGAAAGCGATCATTGTGCTCTGCGGAGAAACCATAGTCTATCTGCTGAGGTCCATCATATTCTACTAAGTCAAAGCCTGGGCTCTCCAATCAGCAGGGGGCCTTGGTCTTCTGAAGCGAAAAGGTCATTGTTGGTTAACATGAAAATTATAGGAGGGCCTCAAGTGTGGATCCTGACACTTCCAGAGCAGCGCATTTTTGCACCTCAATGTCCCAAAATGATGGTCCTGTTACATTTTTTGTTTTGTATTGCAATGCACACTGAATATGGAGAACACCACCCCCCAGCATTGGTGTCAGTGAGTGCAATAATAACCCCCAACATCGGTGGCAGTGAGCGCAATAATAACCCCCAACATCGTGACAGCAAGCGCACTGTAATAACCCCCCAACATCGGTGGCAGTGAGCGCAATAATAACCCCCAACATCGGTGGCAGTGAGCGCAATAATCCAACATCGGTGGCAGTGAGCGCAATAATAATCCCCAACATCGGTGGCAGCGAGTGCAATAATAACCCCCAACATCGGTGGCAGCGAGTGCAATAATAACCCCCAACATCGGTGGCAGTGAGTGCAATAATAACCCCCAACATCGGTGGCAGTGAGCGCAATAACAACCCCCCAACATCGGTGGCAGCGAGCGCAATAATAACCCCCAACATCGGTGGCAGCGAGCGCAATAATAACCCCCAACATCGGTGGCAGTGAGCGCAATAATAACCCCCAACATCGGTGGCAGTGAGTGCAATAATAACCCCAAACATCGGTGGCAGTGAGCGCAATAATAACCCCCAACATCGGTGGCAGTGAGCGCAATAATAACCCTCAACATCGGTGGCAGTGAGCGCAATAATAACCCCCAACATCGGTGGCAATGAGCACAATAATAACCCCCAACATCGGTGGCAATGAACGCAGTAACAACCCCCAACATCGGTGGCAGTGAGCACAATAATAACCCCCAACATCGGGTGGCAGTGAGGGCAATAGTAACCCCCAACATCGGTGGCAGTGAGGGCAATAGTAACCCCCAACATCGGTGGCAGTGAGTGCAATAATAACCCCCAACATCGGTGGCAGTGAGTGCAATAATAACCCCCAACATCGGTGGCAGCGAGTGCAATAATAACCCCCAACATCGGTGGCAGTGAGTGCAATAATAACCTCCAACATCGGTGGCAGTGAGTGCAATAATAACCCCAACATTGGTGGCAGTGAGTGCATGAATAAGCCCAAAGACTGGTATCAGTAAAAATGGTATCACACCCACATTGGTGGTCAGTGGCAGTGCAATGTAACCCCCCTGCATTGGTGGTCAGCGACAGTGATTAACCCTCCCCCCCACAATGGCACTCAGTGACAGTAAGTTAACCCTCTCTGCATTGATGGTTACTGGATGTGCAATTTAACCCCACACCTTGCATTGTGGTCAGTGGCAGTTAACTCCCCAGGCCACTGGTGGTCATGGCAGTGAAAATGAACCCCCATCCCCCCCCCCCCCCCCCCCTTTGGTAATCATTCCCCCATCACATACTCCTGCACTGCTCTCTCCCCAGGCCAGGATTTTGCTTGTACTGCCAGTGGAGTATGCTCTGCCCACAGTGCAGCCTCTCTCCATCAGTACCGGTTGCTGGATCACAGAGCATTCTAGCACCCCTCTGCCATTTTGCTTACTGTATGGTGCCCAGCAGCCTGCTCCAGGCAGGACGCATGCAGTCCGTGGGCCACGTGTTGGGCACCAGGGCTAGAAGTCTAATTCTTTGATGCACCTGGAATGTATTTAGGATTTAAACTGAGAAATAATTAGGCTTTGATCACAAGTGAGCGCTGGCGGTGGCTGTTACCCGACTTCACTTGGTTGCAACGTTTTTGGGCGAATGCAGCAGGGGCAGAATAGTTCTGGTTTTACAACACCAACCTGAGACTTTGCTCTGGCTCCAGGTAGACCCCCAGCCTTCCCCGACCGCCAAATCCACTCCGAGGACCACCAGCAGCAGAATCCTGGACGAAGAAAACAAATCCTGTTATTGCATTGTGATGTCACCTCAAGCATGAGATCACCTAGCGTGCACTGTTCCAGGGGGAGAAAATACACGTATACAGAATGGAGAGACGTATTATATACAGAATGCTTTACCAAAGAGACAGAAAGAGAAAGACCAGACAGAGGATGAGTTACCAAAGAGGCACACAGAACTTTAGTAGATGGATAGGCAACGAGTCCATGTATATTATGTAGGATGATAGTTATTATATATACACACACAAATCAGCCATAACATTATGACCACTGACAGGCTAAGTCAATTGATTATCTCATGACAATGGCATATGAAAGTGGTTGGGATATATTATCAAGAAACAGGCAAGGGTTAGGATTTGAGTAACTCTGACCAGGGTCAAAATTGTAATGTCTAGATGACTGGGCCAGAGCAATTCCCAAGCTGCAGCTCTAGTGGAATGAACCAGGTCTGCAAGGCTCAACAAAGGAAAAACCGGCCAACCGGCGACAAAGTCATGGGTGGCCAAGGCTCCTCGGTGCATATAGGAGAGTGACGGCTGGCAGATGTAGTCTGCACCACTAGAAGAGCAACTGGTGATCAAATTGCTGAAAAAACTACTGCTGGTTCTGATAAAAAAAAAAAAAAAAAAGTGCCAGAACACACAGTGCATCGCAGTTTGTTGCGTATGGGGCGCTATAGCCGCAGACCGGTCCAGGTGCCCATGCTGACCACAACCAAAAGAGCTTACAATGGACATGAAATGGACCACGGGACAATGGAAGAAGATGACCTGGTCTAACAAATTCAAGAATGGTTTGAGAAACACAACAAATCCGAGGCGTTACTTGATCTCCACATTCTCCAGATTTCCATCCATATGAGCATCTGAAGGATGTGCTGGAAAAACCAAGTCTGATCCATGGAGGCCCCAGCTCACAAGTTAAAGGATCTGCTACCGATGGCTTGGTTCCAGATGCCACAACATTTTGAGCAAAAGGAAAAAGTGCAGCGCAACCAAACGCTTCACCCTATTTGCATCACATATTTCCACCCAGTCATACTTCATACATCCCGCAAAACATAATATATAAATAAAAGAAGTGCAATAAAAGTCCCAGCGTTACTATCTTTCACGTGCTTGTGTTTGCAATAAATAGAATATAGCTAATTGAGATATTATAGCTTATGCAATGAACATCCCCACATTATTATCTAACTGTAACCTTATCAGCTTTGGTTACATGTATGAATAAACCTTACATTTTATATACATGTATGTAACCAAAATATGGCAATAAATTAAAATAAACCTGCGCCAAAAAAAATATATGTGTATAATCTAAATATAAATGCTGCTGCTCATGAAAGGAAAAAAAAAACAATCAAAAATATATCTGTAAACACCACACAGCGCAAAAAATATATAATACATTCAATAAAAAATACTAATTATATATGTATACAACAAAAGTCCAAAAGAAAGTCCCAAATAAAAAATTTGCTCAAATCTCCGAAAAAGTGCTAAAAAAAAATCTTCAAATTGCCCACACCATCCGTGATTGACAATCTGATCCGCACTCACCAAATGGAGTGGACTCTTAGCTGGGATAAGAGATGTGTCTGTACTTGATATCCTCCAAAATGATCCCCACGTATAGATAGCAAGATTTGTTTTAGGGCCGAGTATCCACTTTTACATTTTCAGAAATTCAAAAGCTGCAAGTTTCTTCTTATGCAAAGTAAATGTGCTAACAATCTGGCCCTGTCTCCCCGGTATGATTACCTTTTTTATTCGGGACTTTCTTTTGGACTTTTGTTATATACACACACATACATATATATATATATATATATATATATATATATATATATATATATATATATATATACACATATATACACACACACACACATATATACAGTACATATACACATACATATATATAATATATTAGTAGTTTTTATTGAATTTATATTTTTTGCGCTGTGTGGTGTTTACATTTGTACAGGTGAAGCTTGAAAAATTAGAATATGGTGCAAAAGTTCATTTATTTCAGTGCAGCAACTTAAAAGGTGAAACTAATCTATGAGATAGACTCATTACATGCAAAGTAAGATAGTTCAAGCCGTGATTTGTCATCATTGTGATGATTATGACTTACAGCTCATGAAAACCCCAAATCCACAATCTCAGAAAATGAGAATATTCCATGCAATCAATAAAACAAGGATTGTACATAGAACAATATCGGACCTCTGAAAAGTAGAAGCATGCATATATACTCAGTACTTGGTTTGGGCCCCTTTTGCAGCAATTACTGCCTCAATGCAGCGTGCCATGGAAGCTATCAGCCTGTGGCACTGCTGAGGTGTTATGGAAGACCAGGATGCTTCAATTGTAGCCTTCAGCTCTTCTGCATTGTTCAGTCTCATGTCTCTCATCTTTCTCTTGGCAATGCCCCATAGATTCTCTATGGGGTTTCAGGTCAGGCGAGTTTGCTGGCCAATCAAGCACAGTAATCCCACGGTCATTGAACCAGGTTTTGGTGCTTTTGGCAGTGTGGGCAGGTGCCAATCCTGCTGGAAAATGAAGTCAGCATCCCCATAAAGCTTGTCTGTGGAAGGAAGCATGAAGTGCTCCAAAATCTCCTGGTAGACGGCTGTGTTGACCCTGGACTTAATGAAGCACAGTGGACCAACACCAACAGATGACATGGCTCCCCAAATCAACACAGACTGTGGAAAAACTTCACACTGGACTTCAAGCATCTTGCAGTGTGTGCCTCTCCATTCTTCCTCCATACTCGGGGTCCTTGGGCCTCTCCATTCTTCCTCCATACTCAGGGGTCCTTGGGCCTCTCCATTCTTCCTCCATACTCGGGGGTCCTTGGGCCTCTCCATTCTTCCTCCATACTCGGGGGTCCTTGGGCCTCTCCATTCTTCCTCCATACTCGGGGGTCCTTGGGCCTCTACATTCTTCCTCCATACTCGGGGGTCCTTGGGCCTCTACATTCTTCCTCCATACTCAGGCCTCTACATTCTTCCTCCATACTCGGGGTCCTTGGGCCTCTACATTCTTCCTCCATACTCTGGGTCCTTGGTTTCCAAATGAGATGCAAAAGTTGCTCTCATCAGAAAAGAGGACTTTGGACCACTGAGCAACAGACCAGGTCTGTTTTTCTTTAGCCCAGGTAAGACGCTTCTGACGTGTTTGTTGTTCAGGAGCGGCTTGACAATAGGAATACGACATTTGAAGCCCATGTCCAGGATCCGTCTGTGTGTGGTGGCTCTTGATGCGCTGACTCCAGCCTCAGTCCACTCCTTGTGAAAGTCCCCAACACTTATGAATGGCCTTTTCCTGACAATCCTCTCCAGGCTGCGGTCATCCCTGCTGCTTGTGCACCTATTTCTTCCACACTTTTCCCTTCCACATAACTTTCTATTAATGTGCTTTGATACAGCACTTTGGGAACATCCAACTTCTTTTGCAATTCCCTTTTGAGGCTTTCCCTCCTTATGGAGGGTGTCAATGATGGTTTTCTGCACAACTGTCAGGTCAGCAGTCTTTCCCATGATTGTGATTCCTACTGAACCAGACTGAGAGACCATTTAAAGGCTCAGGAACCCTTTGCAGGTGTTATGGCTTAATTAGCTGATTAGTGTGAGACACTTTGAGCCGAGAATATTCCACCTTTTCACAATATTCTCATTTTCTGAGATTGTGGATTTGGGGTTTTCATGAGCTGTAAGCCATAATCATCCCAATGATGACAAATCACGGCTTGAACTATCTTGCTTTGCATGTAATGAGTCTCTCATATATTAGTTTCACCTTTTAAGTTGCTGCACTGAAATAAATGAACTTTTGCACGATATATTCTAATTTTTTCAGTTACACCTGTATATAGGACAGAGGGAGGGATGTGTGTGTGTGTGTATATATATATATATATATATATATATATATATAGATAGATAGATATAGGAGGACAGAGGGAGGGACGTATTATATATATATAGGACAGAGGGAGGGATGTATATAATATATATATATAGGAGGACAGAGGGAGGGAGGTATATAATATATATAGGAGGCCAGAGGGAGGGAGGTATATAATATATATATAGGAGGACAGAGGGAGGGAGGTATATAATATATATATAGGAGGACAGAGGGAGGGATGTATATAATAATATATATAGGAGGACAGAGGGAGGGAGGTACATTTATATATATATATAGAAGCCAGAGGGAGGGAGGTATATAATATATATATATAGAGGACAGAGGGAGGGAGGTATATAATATATATATATATATTATATATATATATAGAGGAAGCAGAGGGAGGGAGGTATATAATATATATATATAGGAGGCCAGAGGGAGGGAGGTATATATATATATATAGGAGGACAGAGGGAGGGAGGTATATAATATATATAGGAGGCCAGAGGAGGTATATATAATATATATATAGGAGGACAGAGGGAGGGAGGTATATAATATATATATAGGAGGAGAGAGGGAGGGAGGTATATAATATATATATATAGGAGGACAGAGGGAGGGAGGTATATAATATATATATATATATAGGAGGACAGAGGGAGGGAGGTATATTATATATATTTATATATATATATATATATGACAGAGGGAGGTATATAATATATATAGGAAGACATAGTTACCTCGGTGTCATGGCTCCAGCAGGCGATCACTGTCTGGGGTTGTTACATTGTATCTCAGTCATGTCCTGTCTGGCTCCTCCCCTCTGGGTGTGAATCATGTGACAGTCAGCTGAAAGTAATCACACTGACCTCTGACCAGCCATCCTGACTTTCCTATTCGGAGGGGGGTGGAGCTGTGGTCACATGACCCCGGATGTGTATATATACTGGCTGCACAGAGGAGGGATGAGGATCAGAGAACCATTCAGGGACCTTGAGTAGGACACACAGTCAGCACGTGGCTCCTCACTGTGTCACATGCAGTAC